CCGATACTTCCACATCCCGATGCCCTCCCATAGGCAAGATTCTCTCGAGTTAACCCCATAATTGCTTAATTTCCAGCTCGTCGTTGACTACCTATGGCACTCCAGTATCGTCGATGCCTCCGTCGTACTATCAGGACACTCCATCCTACAACAAATCCGAATCGGACTCTACACCTGAAGAAAAGAAAAAAGACCCAATGTCCGTGAGCACAGACGCGACACACGACTGGACGTCGTCATCGCAGATTTTCCTTCTTTTTAGGATTTGTTTCTATTTAGCACTGCTTTTTACCTTCACAAATAGACGTTTCAGTGGCCGTTTACGGTATCGTCACGGTATGTTTAGTGAGTTAGAGAGGAATGAGAATGTGAGAGAAAGTGGCCTCACTATTAAAGATAACAAAAAGAATAATATCGATTGAAAATATCGATTTTTAGCCAGAAAAGAGTAAAACTTTTCACGCGAGAGCAGTGTATGAGCAGAGCGAGTTAGGGTCCCACCAAGTGCCATGACCTCATGCTTATCTTTTCAGGTATCTCGCCAAACGTCATAAGAATAACCTAGCCGCACAGAAATCACGGAAAATCAGGTCAGGTATTTCTAATTGCGTGGCGTATACTGATAGTATATTTATGAAGACTACAGTACCCCTTCAGAACAGGTTTGAGCACAGACTCTTCTGGTGGGACATTATAATTGTCCACGGAATACTTTGAAACTTTTAATCTCAAGGGAATTTCGGGGAACTTCCGGCAATCAACCGTATCTAATAGTGCTCTTCCAGGCGACAACGAGAGGAGTCGATCACGAAAACTGCCGAGATGCTACGCGCTGAAAATGACAGTCTGAAAAGTGAAATCGTCCAGCTTCGAGAGGTAAGTCTTAGGAACTCCAACATAACAATCTTCGCCAGGGGACATCATCCTTGACGAATCCTCAAGGAGAATCGGTTCAGTTGAAGTCACCAAGGAAGGAAAACCTACTGGTTTTGGAGCCTGCAATAATGCCTAAGAGGATGAATTTTTGGCGAAGAACACAAAGTTGCTCACTTCTCTCTCTCCTCCTCCCCACGCCGTTGGGTTTTCTTCCTGGTAAATCGAATGTTGGAAGAGATAGGTACATAGATGGAGTGCGAATTCCGGGTTTGGGTCGTACTTGAGACGGCGGTGGATCGGGAAAGAGAAGAGCTCGTGTTGGGCAATACCGACGATTCCCCTGATGGCCATCAGGTACCCCTGTTCTTATCAGGGCACCTGATGTCTGATGAAGATCTCAACGAGGGGGTCATATTTTGTCGCTGGACGGAGGGATATTCGCCCTTGAGAAAAATGTTTATGGCTGCTGACTCTTCTCGATTTTTCCTTAACACCTGCGCCCCGCTTTCCCCACCAAATGTTATGAAAAAAATACGGGGGTTTTGAAGAGAACCCCGGAAAGAGGAGGGAATTTGGAGAAATTTAGGAAGGTGGGAGGTAGAATGAGGACTGAAGGAGGGGGTCGTTCCAAGGGAGGAAAATTAGAGGGGGTGTCGTACTTTGCAAAAATATTTCCTCACTGTAGGACACACCCTGATTGATGATCACCTCCCTTACAATGAAGTTTTGATTCTTTGAGCTGCCTTTCACAAGCCTTTCTCGCGAAGCTACCACAGAAAACTGTAGAAAATAGCCGAGCAGGGTTATTGTGGATCATTTCTATCAAAACAATGCGCTGTTTGGCTTAGAGGGTAGGGGGGTGGGCATTTTCTCATTTTCGCTAGTTCCTGGTTACTGACAGATGTCACTCTGGTGAAACCTGTAAACTCTGGAGAAGCTCCAAAATGGCACAATACACGTCTTCACAATGTGGCCAGTACAGGCTTCGCTGAGTACCATCTGGTGCCACCCCCATCAAGCCAAAGTGCACCGGAGTTTCCTACTGTCACAACGAACTCGTGAAAACCTTCTTTAATCAGCTTGTCATCTAGAATCCCTTCTGTTCGCTCTGTAAGCTTGTACCTCCGTTTTCCCCCAATACCGCATAACCCTGCACAGTCTATAATACGAAAGAAGAGCTGTCCCTGGTGATGGTTTACCTTTTGAAAGGCATTTTTGTATTTCATCATAATAAACACAAAATAACAATAAGCATGTGCAAATCCTATGAAAAAACCATCTAATTTCAGATGATCACCGATCTTCGGAAAACAGCTGAGTTCGACTTGCCAGGCACCGGCGCCAACGGAGCCTATGCGAGACACAGCGAACATCACTCGACCAGATCCCTACATGCCTTACCACACGTTCCAGATTGGCTTTTCCATCAACAGCCAATTATAGCCTTCAACCTTGGCTCGTGCGGCACCGGTTCTTCACCTACGGATGCATCTTTCGGGTTCAACGCATCCACAAATTCTCGGATATGGTCACTCCGGCCATCTCGCTAATAAATATATTTACATCACTCTAACGATTTTCAGAGAAATTCTGTGTATATAATTGAAAATGGTTGTGATTAAGTAGTTGTGGTAAAAGCCTAGGAGCGCAGTTCGGCTTGGTGGGGGCGATTTACTAGTTCCCATCGATTGCCTGTTCTCCGTCCATGGCTCCCGTTTGGACCTGTAAACTCTTGTGAAGCTATGCAACCGCGCCAGCTTTGGTCTTATTTGATAAGATTTTACAGGTCTCAACAAGGTGGACTTGTAAGTTAGAAGGAACCAGTAAAAAGATTTTGACAAACTAAAAAGACCCCCCCCCAAGCC